GTCATGAAGCTTACCTTGAGAAGGCTCTCAAATTTATTCCATTGCAAGATTAATGTCTCCAGTTGAATTAGGTGGTCACATTTTTGAAAAAGGAAGTCTGTTAAATCATTCTTTGAAAAATTTAGGTGTCTAAAGGGACTAACAGATGAAGGACAAAGCATATGAATCATCTCTGATTCAGCTATTGTCATGTCTGCAATATTCATGTCTGCAAATATTCTGTATATGTCATCCTGTGTGAAGTACAGATCTGTGATTTTAATTTTCTTCACTATCAGTGCCTTCATAGAGGTACCTGAATAGTCAAAGTCATAGCTTTGTATGTGCGACAGTTGAGTGACATTGCTAACATTGAAGTATTCAATGGATGAATGCCATACAGTCTGAAAAATTTCCATAAGAGCACTCCAGTTCACCGACACATTTGTCAGTGTCAGATTTTGTAACCCAGAGCCTTGTCTGAAATTAGATAATAAAGCTACCAATTTTTTTACATGGTTATTTGTGATTTCTGACAACGACAGGCTTTCTGTAGTATTTTGTATCACAACCCAGTCAGAACTAGATTTGGACTGATATGTATTTGTATATAAGAGTGGCAGGCTCTTGAATTTTTGGTCAGAACTATCTTCTGGAAAACTGTTAGAAACAGGTGTAAGAAGTTCATTTTCCATAGACAGGTTGACATGGTTCCAAAAAGTTAATGCAAACAGATACTTGTAAACAAAAAAGTTTCTAAGAGAGCTCGTATTTTCTGACATACTGCTTTTTGTTTTCCTTGGAGATGTTCAAAACTTTTCTATCTGTCCATCTTTGGTGTAATCCTGTTGGAAAACAAACAAATAAAACCAAAAACCAGATTGCATCATTAAGTAGCTACGCAGGAACCATCAGAGCGATAGATTTTTTTAAGGTTCCAATTTCTCATTTTTCCCTTTGACTCAAAAAGCAATGAAGGTGCCTATTATCATTCAGGAGAGACATTATTTATTAACAGAACACCACTGAAATTTTCATTTAGTAAATATGTCGCATTTAATACATAATGAGTCAGTTTCTTAGAAAACATGTCTGATTTCATAGCTGACTAAAATTTGCTGCTTACTTACAGAATTACTGCTGTGATTCAATGTATTATGAAGGCTTCCCACAACTGTGTAATATACTTTGATTAGACAGTACATTAATTGAGATTCTCTCCTGAAGAATGTGAACTAGACTCAGAGACATTATTTTAAAATGCACTTGTGACTATAAAACTTGGACTGAAACTTAGGATGGAGGTTCAAGAGTCTGAATCAAAATCTGGATGTCTTTAGGTAGCTGAGATTGGATCCTCAGTGCTTATTTTAACTGGGAAAACTGGAGCAAGGGTAGAATGTTCTCTACTTATGCCATGAAAAAGTCCAGAGAAAAGTTTGCTTCTTGTCTGAGCTTGAGCATTTCCTGAATTTAGACTCTGAAAGTGGGGTATCCACTTGTCTAGTTTGTCAAGTGTACACAGAGGACACCAAACACACACTAGGAATACCTGCATGCTAAACAAAAATATACCAGTCGTAGAACCTCTGTACACAGAATCCACCCCTGACCTAAGGTCACTGACCTCACATGTCCCTGTTGTGAAAGAAGGGCTAATCTAAACACAATTTAGTGGGAAAAAACATCATAACCATGGTTTTGCTTTGATTTTCCTAATGGAGGTCACTTTTTCTTTCTGAATGTAGGAGCTTAGAGTAGCCAGCCTCCCTTTAAGTCAGCCACTGTGAATGCTGCCTTAAATCTCCTTTTAGATATTGCCATAACTCCATTAGACCACCCTTCTGAAAGAGGAACTGATAAGAACTTAGTTAGCACTTTCATACATGTAAATCTTGATGTGAGGTTGTTTTCTGGATTTTTGAAATCCTTTTATTTCCCCTTTTCCCCCTTTCCATCCCACTACTTTCAAATCATAATTATTGCCTGAAGCTTTCCACAGTACACATTAATGACTGCACTGGCTTTCAACTTTCTCTTGATATTGAAATGGCTAAATTGGGAGTATATATTTCGAGTGCCTCTACAACGAGACAGAAATAGCTATCATTTGTTGGTCTAAATTTACAACCTCAAGGACTACATCTTCTGCGCCATTAACCATTCCACAAGTTTTCTCAGAATTACATTACTAGGTGTAAAATATACATTCTCCTTGATCTAAAACAACCTATATTATGAAATCTCAACAGTACAACAACAAAAAAAAAAACAGTCCGCTGAGTTCTTTTGTAAAGAATGCATGAAACTAGGCTTGGAAATCATCTAAAAATAGTTGGATAATATGGCAAAACTTTTCCCGTCTTTTCCAGATTTTCATTTGGAAAAATTATATTCATCGTAGCCCTTAATAGGGATCTGGCCATCCTCTATCCTATTCTTCTGATTGTTTGGGCAATTCTACTAATGTATAAACAAATAAAATAAGTAGCTTCAAAAGAAATTAAAAAAAAAATCTTTAAATCATTATTCGTTCTTGGGATAAAATTTCAGCAATATCCAAGGACCAGATGAGAGAAGGATATGATTCTTCCATATTTTTATTTTCTTTCTCATTCCTATATCCTGGCATTCAGTCAAATTATTTACGAGTACCTTCAAACTTCCTTTAGAATATCCTACGAAGCAACAGAATTAAAAACTGTTATAACACATAACCTGTGACCTGGGGGCTAATGCTGGAGAAATTATCCTTTATAGTCATATTCCTTTTAATTCACAAGTATCCTCAAGTCTTCAAACTTGACAAAAAGTACTTGCTATCAAGAAAAGCAACCAGGAGGGTAAGCAAACCAAGATCATAGCAAGAAATTGTCCTGTTGTTTAAAGAGTGAGAGAAGAGATCAAAACTGAGGTTTTAAGAGTTTTTCCAATATAAAATTGGTATAAACTGACTAAACTTTCATATAAGAAATGTACAGAATATATTGAGCTATGAAGGTTCAATATTAAGATATGCACTTCACAAGTTATCAGCATAACACAAAACTCTAGTGTTACAAGTACACCTTTCACAAGGATGAAACATATTATCAAGTTAGACCCATTCCTGAACTGTACAAAAGCTATTTTCATTAATTCACTGTGACCCCCTTAACTGTGGGTGTAGTGCTAATACAAAGAGATTGCTGTTTGGTCAGCTTCTTTGAATAAATGTACTGAACATAAGCAACTTTATCCTCATTTCTTACCCATACACTTGAAAGTACACCATAAACTTGCTAATAACCCTCTATGGAAAACATGGGTCATTTTCAAATAAGATACAGAATAGAAAACAGTTCTAGCTAACAACATAAAATCAATAAAATGAAAACTTGCTCACCAGAAATCCCTGCTCTCCGAAAAAGCAGAAAATGTTCTCAGGAAAAGACAAAAAGAAAACTTCCTGTAATTCTATCCTACTGAGTAACAATACTTAGAAACGCCCAAACTTTTTATACAAATGTTTGTGCCATCTACTGACAGCTTGTAAAATGGCATTTGCTTTCCTCCAGACGTATTTTCCACATACAACACTATTGTAATATCCCTATTATTCAATTATTATTGAACTATGTGTTTTCGTGCTTTGCAATAGATTAAACAGGGGGGAAAATTAATCTTTTTACCAACTTTCTGTCTTTGTTAACTAATACGAAAATAAGTACTTTGAGCAAGTTTACAATGAAATTCAAACATCTCCTCTAAACTTAATAATGATCAAAGTTTACATGCATTATTATGATTTTTTTTTTTCCATTTTGATATACCGATTCAGTTGTCAAGTTATTATCAAGGCTGGTTTCTAAAAGTACCATTTGTCTTAGTTTAATTTACATTTAATGGGAATGGAAAAATAATCTCTCTCCTGCTCCAGCAGTGTTGTGATTGGGTTAAACAGAAGACACAGAAACAGTGGGTGGGGTTTGGTTTTTGTTGTTTTTTTTTAATTAAAACAGAGCAGTGCCTTCAGTATTGAATGCCCAAACACAGGATTATTGTCCCAGCAAAGACATAAACCAGTCTTCTTTTATTTCTGCATAATGTTGGTCAGAAATTCCACCATGGCAGAGATCTAAATATAGAACTGCCACAACACAAATTACCTTACTAGGTTAGCATACTACAACTCATTCATGATTTAACATTTCAATTATTCAGGAAGTAGAGGAAAATATCTAAAAAATTACTTTTTTCACTTTAAAGCTTATTCTGTAGATTATATTTCATTTCTCAGCCTTAAGTGAAAAGAGGTCATCCATAAAAGGAAAAGAAAGATGGAACAGGTAGTAAATGACAGAATATGGAAAATTCTCTGCTATCACGATGATGAGCTTTATAGTGGTACTCTATGATTTTATGATTTGTTCTCCATTCCTGTCAATTCAGACAAGACTATTCACAGCAGGTTTCCAAATGAGACCTTATAATAGCGTTACACACAAACCTCACCATTGCCTGCTCTTAGTTGGAAAGATTTTGCTATCCATTCTTAGGATGAGATAAAATCCTAAGGTAAGACCTTGCTTCTACCAAACATTCATTCCTGTTTTGGAATGTAACAGCTGAACTGCCTGAATATAGTCTACATGTTACTCTAATGAATACAGAACCAGACATACAATTGGTTAATGTGTAATAACTGCCATAGAGACCCTTATTCAAGATTATCTCTTCAGTTCAGTGACAGTATGAGCTGGCCACTGGCAATGCCTGTATGCCTACATACTACAAAGACAGATGCAGCATATGCTAAACAGAAAAATAAGCATATTGCCATTAACTGGATGCCATTAGCCCTTCAAATTTACCCCTAAGAACTACCAGTGCAATCACTGAAAGCAGATTAATATAGTCCTCGAATGTTATGCATACATCCATGTTTTAAGTCTTTCCACCTTTTATTTATATTTATCTATTTATTAAAAGGCAAGTATCTTTTCTGAAACCCATTAGAAAGATGATGACACTCAGAGTAATAACAAATTTCAGTGAAATCTGAGATGAATGGAAGTGTTCAATCTCTAATGCTTATTTATTGCAAAACCGTTGAAATATTACCATAGTAAGACAATATAAGTGAAATTAATTACTGAAAAATGAAACAGAAAAAAATTAGAAAATGCAAATGTTAATTTAAAAAAGTAATTTAGGAACTTAGGAAATGTATGCATCCTTCTGTCCAGACAGACATATGTACACATTTACACACATATAGTGTTAATTTCATCCTGAAGCAACGATACTCTCAGGCACATGGTGTGACTCTTTGAGGATGGTCCTGTGCAGAGCTAAGGGCTGGACTTGAGGATCCTTGTGGGTCCTTTCCAACTCAGCACATTCTGTGATAATTGTGTTACAACAGTGATTAACAATGTCTTGTAGCTCTATAGCATGCGTGGTCTTGTACAGAATCTGCAAAACTGACAGTGCAAAATCCACGTTAGAGTCAAAATTACCATCTCTCATGGGTAAAACAATCTCCAGCTATCGTGATTCCCCTATGATGCTACCCTTCCACAAGCTCCACTGAAAAGCAGAGGGAAATCCATAACACCACTCTAGATTTCATTTTCAATAAATACATCTAACATTAATAAAATAAAATTCTCTGACACTTAAATTCGCACTGGAAGACCCTCAAAAGAAATGTATTACTTAGGGATACAAATATTTGTTCTGCTACTACCTACCTTAATGAGAAACTTCAGAGACTTTTTCCTGATAAGCGTGTAAGTCACACATCATGATAGGTATTTGTAATGCACGCTTCTGAGAACTGTGGCTTTATTTTGTGGCCTCCTACAGTAGCTCTCCTCAGTGATTCACAACATGTTATTTTGCCTCCTGTGGCAACAGTAATTTCTTTCTTTGGCAGACTACTGACAAAAATGATGTTACAATAAATTGTGGAACTTTTTATCATCTTAAAGGGCATGCTTCGCCTTAACATAAAGTGGTAAAAAGAGGAAGAGGTATGAGGAACTACAGAGACAAAAACCACAGGTTGTTGGGCAAGAGCCTGCAAACCCTTTGCTCAATCCAGTATTTCTTTGGTGGCTGCAGGCACCCAGTGTCGACACCAACTGACTGGAAATGTGTGCACGTACCGCCCAGCTTCTGTCAGAGGCATTTCCTGTAAAGACAGTGATAACGAGGGTGGAAAGCAGCATCTGAAAAGCTAAATCTCAGTTGTTTAATTCTGCAAACCCATGCATCAGTAGGTGCTCACTTTGAGGAAGGATTAAACTTTCTAAAAAGGATACAATAATTTTTGATGCCAGCTCAGTGACTAGACTCATTGAAACTTAAAATGCCCCAGTATGAACATTATCAGTTTGGCCATAACAAATTATCTAGCACACATTTGGATAACTGCAACTGGCTAAGGGGTTGGGCACAAAGGGTTATAGTCAATATGGAGTAACATCAGGCTGGCAACCTGTCACTAGTGGGTTTCAGCAGGGCTCCATCTTAGGTCCTGTTCTCTTCAACATCTTCATTAATGACCTGGATGCAGGACTCAGAAGAATACTGTTTGCTGATGACACTAAGTTACTTGGGAGGAGTTGTCAACTCCCTCGAGGGCAGATAGGCCCTGCAGAGAGACCTCAACAAATTAGAGAGATGGGCAATCACCAGCCATATGAAGGTTAACAAGGGCAAGTGCTGGATTCTGCACCGGGGACAGGGTGATCTTGGTTGTGTGTATAGAGTAGGGAGCAAGAGGCTGGAGAGCTGTGCTGAAGAAAGGGACCTGGGGGTCCTAGTCAACGGCAAGTTGAGTATGAGTCAGCAGTGCCCTGGCAGCCAGGAGGGCCAACTGTGTCCTGGGGGGCATCAGGCACAGCATCACCAGCTGGTCGAGGGAGGGGATTGTTCTGCTCTGCTCTGCACTGGTGAGGCCTCACCTTGAATATTGTGTGCAGTTTTGGGCACCGCAACAAAAAAATATAAAGCTATGAGAGCATCCAAAGGAGGGCAATGAGGATGGTGAAGGGACTGGATGGGAAGTCATATGAGGAGCGAATGAGGTCACTTGGTTTGTTCAGCCTGGAGAAGACTGAAGGGAAACCTCATTCTGGTCTTCAACATCAGGAGGCAAAGCAGAGGGGCAGGTACTGACCAGTGACAGGACTCGAGGAAACGGCATCAAGCTGAGTCACGTAAGGTTTAGGTTAGATAAGAGTAAAAGGTTTTTCACCCAGAGACGGCTTGAGCACTGGGACAGGCTCCCCAGAAAAGTGGTCACAGCATCAAGACTGACAGAGTTCAAGAACAATGCTTGAACAACTGAGTTCAAGTTGCACAACGCTCTCAGGCCCATGGTGTGGTTCTTGGGGTGGTCCTGTGCAGGGTCCGGAGTTGGACTCGATGATCCTGATGGGTTCCTTTCAATTCAGCATATTCTGTGATTCTGTGGAATTTACCCCATTTCCGCCTTAGCGCGGACGCGGGGGATGCCGCCCGCGCCTGACGGAAGCGCTGCTCCACCCGCGCCCGGCGCTCCCGGCCGGCGCCCGCCTCGCCTCCCCCGCCGGGACACCGCCGGGACACCGCCGGGACACCGCCGCAGCCCGACCCCCGCCGCAGCGCGCCGGGGGCCGTGAGGGGTGATAATGGCGGCCAGGGCCACTCTCTCCGGTGGGTCAGCGCAGCCTGGAGCTCGGGGGCGGCTCGGCAGCGGACCAGCCCCTTTGCTCCAGGCGGGCGCCTCAGAGAGCCGGAGGCAGCGGGAAGCAGAAGCGCCAGCCCTCCCTCCTCCCTGCGGGCTGGTCGTCCCGGGCTGCCCGGCGCGCTCTGCCTCCTCCCCCCGCTGCTGCCGACGTGGCGGGGCGGGGAAGGGAAGAAGAAGGGGGCGCGCCGGCCGGGGCACTGCTGAGCGGTAAGGAACGCGGCGATTTCTAGTTTTTCTGCCGCTTCTGACACTGCGGACTCCTCGCTACACAGCTCTACTCCAGAGAGGATTTCGAAAAGAGGGGGGAGAAAAGGGAAGGGGGAAGCTGTGGCCGCTGCGGTCTTGCGGGAGCGGCGCCCCGGCTGCCCTGCCCTTCCTGGGGCAGGGGGACAGCGGGGCAACGGGACAGGGTGAGCTGGCGCCAGGGGTGTCGCCTGCGCTCGCCGTGCCCGCAGCGTCCCGCGGAAGAGAAGCGACAGCAGGCGTCGAGCGAGAGGGGAGCGCGGTGCCACCGCTAGAAAAGTTATCCCTCAGGCACGGGGACGGTGGTCCGTGCCCAAAGGTGCCCGGCGGCGGCTGGGATTTGCTTCCGAGGCGGGCTGAAACCCCTCGGGCGGAGGGTCGGCAGGTGCTGCCACCGCCGGCCCCTTCAGGGCGGACCGTTCCGGCTGGTCGGTGCGGGCCGGGCGCTCCTCTGCCGCCCTGTCCGGAGCTGGCCTTGGCATCTCCCTCACGAACTCTCTGTAGATTAATTCCCTTTGGGCAGAGTTGTCCGGGTTGATTTGGATCAGGATAATCTCACGGATGAGAGGTTGAATGACTCCTTACCCCGGGTGCAGCACGTCTCGTGTGTTCTGACAGATCCGGTGATTTGGTATTACGTGCCTTGCTCCCGTAAGGAAGATTTGGCAGACAACTGCAGGGACCGTGGCCTGAGTGGTCCCCAAAGATGACCTAGTCTTGCAAAAATTCATGTATACGTGTCTGTGCAATTTTTAAAAAAGTGCTGGGCTCACTCAGAACTGATCTCCAGGCAAAATGACGAAGTATGTGTGTACAGTATGTGTGTAAAGGTTTTGGTAGAGGATTCTCATCTCTGACGATGGAGTTTTTCTACCCATCACATAGGGGGTACTGTTAAAACATTGACAATACTTACCTATACTAAAACATTTTATAGTATTTGCTGTATTCGTCATGGAATACTTGTGGCAAATGCAAAGATTCTGACTTGTAAATGCATGTTTTCTGATGATAACTAAGGTACATGTAAACTGGTGTAATATACACGGTACCAAATGCTGTTTATTTATTTTCTTGTTCACTGATACCAAACGCTACTCTTGGAACTGTTCAAGCAACCAATCTTCCTTCAAGTGAGATAAACAGGCTGCTAAACCCACATATCTATACAATTCTATAGACTTTAATAAAATATACTCATTTAAATACATGCTTCTCAGGCAAATTTCTCCTAAATCCCAGTTATATTTTGCGTTTTTGCCTTTTTTTCCCCCCGTTCTTCCGTTTCACAGAACCTCAGTTCTTCCTGTCAAGTACAAACCTTTGGGCCATATTTAATTAATATGAGAATCAATGAAAAGGCAACATCTATGGGGAGAACTGTATGAGTTTATTTTATGCCATACAACTCAGCACAGTCAGGAGCTTGCAAGCTCTCTGTCAAGGGTTGTCTTCTGAGTAGAGTACAAGGTATATTGTTGTTGCCAACAAGTAAGTGGTAGTAATCACTGTACAGTAGTCCTTTTGGACTCTGCCAATGCCACTCCTTAATCAACCGTAGAGCTTGCTCAATGGCCATATCTTTTCTTTGTGGATCCTCAGCCAGATGACTGCACAGTGGTGCAAAATACCTCCAAAGTTACATTGGAAGATAAGGAGTAAATAAGAGAAAACTGGTTCATAACTTTCAAAAAAAAAATCAATAACTGTACCTCATACAATCTTACCTTGGCTTCAAAATTGAAGTTTAATCACACAGCTGGAATTTCAGGAGCAGGTGAGAAGCGTTGCACTTCCCAGAGAGCAAACCTTTGAGTCAAGTGATGCAGAAACAGTGTAAGCAATGAATGTCTATGAAATGGCTCCAGGGACCATGGTCTGTCATGTTCACGAATTATGCCCCTTCTCCAACACATAAATATCCCCACAGTTTTAGTCACACTGTGTTACCCTCCTTGCCATCAGTCAGCAGGCTGTAGGAACCTGTGTATGTGGGGATGATTAAACGGAGAGGAAGAGCTGCTTGACTATTGCAGCTCCGATTATCCTATTCTTCAGTGGTCTTTCATGCACACCTAATAGTGAATGTAAAAGTTAACCATGTGGGAGCTCTTACATTTAACTTCTTCAGACAAATGAAAATCCTTTCTCTCTCACTAAACTATATTTTGGAAAACAGTAGTGCTGTTCTTCGTACTTGAGTGAGATCCTGCAAAGTGATTTAGTGTTTAGAGTATTATCCTGGTACCAGTGCCAGCGTGATGCATGTGCCACAGGGCTCCATGCTTTAGGAGGCCTCAACACTGTGTATTTTATAGTAATTCAAATGTTTATGGAACCTAAAAGACTTTGTTTTCTACATTCAGAATTGAAAATGTCTGAAGACATATCTGATGGCGTCCCATCTGAAGAAAAATCTGAAGTAATGGAAATGCCCAACAATGAGATATTGCCTCCTGAATCAGTACCACATCTCGTAGAAGCTGAGATCTTGCATGAGTCTTCACAAGATGAACATGGACAGGCCACTCAGAGTGCCAGTAATAGACAGGAAGGAGACATAGTAATTAATGAAAACCCTTTGACTGAAAAACTAGTTGAAGGTCTACCTTCCAGTGAAGAGGCAACTGAAGACATACCCACTGAGTGCATTGAAACTGTGAGCCTTGATACAGAACCTGAATCTGAAGAAACACTGCATGAACAAAGCAGCCCAGTAAGTAATACTTTCTTTTCTGTAAAAGCTCTCCCCTCCTTGGGTTGTAAGGACAGAATTTTCTATCATGTACATACTGTTTTTCGCAAAAACCTAGGGAGTTATATGAAGAAAACCTGCATAGGGATAAAATAAATTAAATTGCAACACCAAGCTTTTGAAAACTAGGAATAGTTTAATTTCTCTTTGCCAGTATGATATTAATTTGGTCTTTCACATCTGGCTGCAATAAAACTTGCATTATATAGGGATTATATGTTACTGGAGGATTCCTTGAGAAAACAGTTTCTTAATATGATTTAAATATGTAATACTGATAATTGCTTAACACTACACATTACTGTAGAAGGTATGCAGCCCCTCCTTTGACTGAGTTTATTGAACTCAGTTGTTATTAGTTCCCTGTGCACATCTACTGAATTGCACTTGTGAGGAGGCTCGGGAAGAGAAACATCCAACTCTGGCTTCTGGTAGAACCTAGAAAGGAGACAGGTTCCTGCCTCTCCCTAATAATAGCCTTAGTAAACTTGTATGGCTTTATTAGATTTTGTGCCTGAAGAAATATTAGGACATCTGTAAAGGCATCTCTGGAGTTTTAGGTGCTTTCAGGAATAGGCAACGTGAACTATGCCTTCCATTCTGCTTTCTTATGCACAGAAGCTTGAACTCTACAGAATATTCAATCTATCATCATTTATCAAACACCAGACTCTGTTGCTGATGGGTTCTTTGTGTTTCCTCCTGCCTTTTGAGAGCAGGAATTTTAAACAGTGGAGTAACATTTTTTTTCTTACAGACCATAGACTCCTCATCTAAAGCAAGTAGATGGGGAGCTTGGGGTACCTGGGGAAAGTCTCTCCTGTCATCAGCTTCTGCCACAGTAGGTAAGTGTTCAGTCAGTAAAGTGCATGGAAATAATTCATAGTTTTAATGTGTCATTAGACACGTTAGTGTTGCATCTTAAGGTTTCATAGACAGTTTTGATTTTATTAAATAGGAAGATGGACCTTCCTAAACTATTGAAGCACATAAATATTTCTTTGGGTCAAATCATGGACAAGG